GACTTTCCTATAGCACAAGAAATTACCAGGTTACCAGTCCTACTTGATAAACTCCAGGCCCACAAGGGTGGGAAACCTGTGGCTTTGAGGTCTTCCAGGTCCTTGGGTGGGGCCTTTTGACTGAGTCCAAGTTTTATATAACAAATCTTTTTATGAAGGGGATTTGTTCTGTGAAGTTTGGATTCAGTCAAAGGGCCGTACTTGAGGACCGAAGTTCCCCACCCCTGCTCCAGGAGGTCCCCTATTACCTCTAGAATCAAATAAAAACTCCTTTGTTTGGCATTTAAAGTGCCTCACAAATGATTCAATCATTCTGAAGAGCAATTTGGAACTATGCCCAAAGGGCTATAAAAATGTGCATACCCTATGACCCAGCAATAGCACTTCCAGGGCTGTATCCAAAAGAGATCATACAAATGGGAAAAGGACCTATATGTACAAAAATATTTATAGCAGCTCTTTTTGTGGTCGCAAAGAATTGGAAATTGAGAGGATGCCCTTCAACTCGGGAATGGGTGAATAAGTTGTGGTATGTGAATGTAATGAAATACTATTGTGCTACAAGAAATGATGAACAGGCTGCCTTCAGAAAAACCTGGAAAGACTTGTATGGTCTGATGCTGAGTGAAGTGAGAATAACCAGGAGAAAGTTGTACACAGTAATAGCCACATTGTGCGATGACTAATATTGATAAACTTAACCCTTCTCAGCAATACATGGATCTAAGACATCTCCAAAGGCCTTGTGATGGAAAATGCTATCCACAAAGAAGAGAGAACTACAGAGTTTGAATGTAGATGGAAGCATACTATTTGCTATTTTTTTTCTTCTGTTGTGTTTTGTTTCCTCTTTCTGGTGGTTCTTCCTATTGGTTCTAATTCTTACTTATGACATCACTAATGTGAAAACATGTTTAATAGGAATGTATATGTATAGCCTATATCAGATTTCGGCCATCCTGGGGAGGGAGGTGGGGAGGGAGGGGGAGAAAAATTTAAAACTCAAAAGTTTATGGAAGTGATTGTTGATAATTCAAAATTTAAAAACAAAAAACCACAAAAAAAAAAATAATTAAGTAAAGTGCCTCACAATCTGACCTCTTCCTACCTCTGAAATCAGACATCTTACTTTGTTCACAAACACTGTGGTCTGGCCATACTGGCTTACTTGCCAGTCTTCCCATTTCCTTTCTCACTGGCTGTCTCCCATCACTGGTATCATCTCCTTCCCTACCTCACCTCTTCAAATTGCTGGCTCCCTTCAAGACTCAGGTCAAGCATCATCTTCTGCATAAAGCCTTTCCTGGTACCCCCAGGTGCTAGTACATTCCTTTCCAAGGTTATCTTGGTATTTACTTTGTATACATGTCATAAATACCTATATATGTATACGTTGTCAGGCCCCCCTCCTCCCAAGTTCTTTGAGTACAGGAACTTTTCTGCTTTTTGTCAGTTTCCACAGTGCTTAGCACATACAAAGTACTTAATAAATGCTTACTGATAAATTAGCAATACATCCTGTAAGAGGAATATCCAAAGTGTTACCAATTTGGAAGTGCTAAATTGCACATTCCTAAACCAGTTCCAAGTAGATATTGATTGTTGAGAAGGTCAGTCTTGTGAAGATTGGGAAAAGGTAAACCTGACCCACAAATGAACCAAAGGTTTCCCATCTATCAGACCACAAGTTCTGACATTACAACCTTTGAATGATATGAAATAATAATGTATAAATAAGCTATTTAAAAATATTTCTGACCTTTAAAACCAAAATCAAACAAAGTTAAAGTAACCTTGACCTTACATAACTAAAAAAGGTCAATCTGTTACTTTCAGAACCAGATGTGACAGAAGTTTAATACTGTAACAAGTATGTCCCTTCCTTCTTCCCCTTTTATAATAAAATCCTCTGACCTACGAAGGATGATATGTTCATTTCATAAATATTTTTTAATTCACAGTGGTGGGCAAAATAACTTTCCTGTACACATCCTAAGAGTAGTGATGGCCAAGCCCCCTGTATTTTTTCTCATGAGATGAGTTCATCAATTAAGAGTATCGAATATGCCCTTCTTGAACCACAGGCTACATCTGTGTTGTTTTTTTTTCCCCTCCCTAAGAACTGGTCTCTTAAGATCTACTCTTGAGGATACTGCTACCTCAAGATTAAGTCCCAGAAACTGAGAAAGATGTTTAGAGACTGGCAAACTCTAACCCAAGCACCTACAGCATATGGCTGTACTTAATCTTGCACCTTGTTCCTATTCACCAAGACATGGTACACATAAGTAAAAAGGAGAAGCTTATTGAAACTTTTTTTCAAAGTTGGCTTGCTCTAAAAATTTTCCTGTGCAGTCCAACAATACTTCATGAGAAGCACCACTGCCAAGCCCAAGATGTGGGAAATTCTGTAAGAGCAAAGAGAACAGCTTATTCTTGCTGTAGGGACTTTTTAGAAATGTACAAATTAATTTAATAAATATCTAAATACTACTCCTATGAAGGTATATGAGTTGTTTTATGTATATATGTATTCAGGATATACGAAAGCCATACTTGCATAAAATCACATACTGTTATAATTAGCAAAAGACTCTTAAAAGAATTTACTCCTAATTTTAGTGCCCTTATCAACAAGGGCAGAGGTCCATATTATCAGGACAAACAATAAAAGAAATCCGTAAGCTATTCCACATCCAAAAATGTTTTCCCTGCCCATATTACCCTGATTCCATAGTTATAATTGAATGATAAAATAGATTTTAAATAAGATAGCTAAAATTTATACTGAAAGTTAAGTCTTAAGTGGCCAGATTATTTTACCCACAGTTCTCATGAGTATAAGGTCTACCACTAACAGGAAAACTGGACTTATTTAATGGCAAGACAATTCTCTGAGCTACAATTTAAAACATTACACTGAATCACTGTAAGACACTAATGAAATGAGTCAAAGCTTTCCACATTCAGGTAACAAGATGTCTTGCCCAAAGAACAAGACGAATCTTAGGTCTATGTGAAAGCCCATCAATATAAGACTTCCCTGGAACCCTGCTAAAAGGGTCCATATCAGGTTCTTACTAGCAACACTACAGTAAATTGCCAAGGCTTTCCCATTTCAACTCTGTCCCCATTCCTAAGGGGCCATCTGCCACCTTTGCCTGGATCTTTTGAAGCCTCAGGTGCAAAGCAACAAAAAGCAAATGCAGATAGTTTGACTGAGGAAAAAGATTTGCCAATCTTTAGCAAAGAGAATGCACAAAGTTGCTTTATAGCCACAAAGGAACTCTGGAACCTTGAGACTGATTATACCTTTGTCAATGTCATTCACCAACATATGAAAAACTTAAAATAAATATCCACTGTGGTAAGCATGGGCTTTTTCATAGGGATGGTAGAAATCCTGCTCTGTTTCATATCGCTGAATAATACACAGATTAGACAAATTAGATGTTCTAATTAGCAAAGAAAGGACAGCCAAGCTATACCTACATTTCTCCTTCTCCTATGCATCTTAGAGATAATTATTATGACCCCAAAATAAAGAGAGGATCAATTTGGATAGCTCGGTACCTGGCTAGATTTTGGGAAGCTTGGAGAGTTTGAGATATCTTCATATCCTCTACCTGTGTTATCATCTTAGCCCTTGGGATTAGGTATCAGATAAAACCCTACGTCATTATCATAGCTCCTAGTTACTGCTACCTCTCCTTTGCCTTTGCAAAGTAATTTTAATCCCTCCCAAAGACATGAGTTCTGCCTCATGGTTCTTGATTTCTATGGGGCTCATTATCCATAACTAGGGATGTTTGCCATCTCATGCTCATGAGAGGTCCTGATATCGAAGTTGATTTATTTCCCTTATGCACAAAAAGTGGAGAATGTGGGAATAGGGCTCTAGGTCTGCCAAGCTTATCTGCTATGCTTTTTGAAAGCCTGATGTTACTATGAAGGCTAATCTGAAGAAACTGAGGGGAAATTTGTTGCCTCTAGATAGAACAAAAGACTTGTACTACTTGTCTGTGTAATTTTTGATAATCCATTATCTTTTAGTATTTTAGTATTTTATCTTTCTGTTTTCTCTGGAGTCTCCCGTAGAATTTGCTACGCCTCAATAGTCTGTAGTTGAATGAATCCATGATATTTTGTGAGCATTTCTTTAGACTCCTTAATCTCCTAAAATTTTAAACTCTGTGATTTTAAGTTGTTTCCCCAAGATTTAGAAAAGTTCTGTTTTCTTCTTCCCAAGGAGAGATATTTGCTATCCAGACAAAACTTGAAATCTATAGTGCTTCTCTCCCATGCAGCTACACGTTATCAATAAAGGAAAAATGCCTTAATCCTGTAATCATCAGAATATTGGCGGATTATTCCTTTTAGAGTTTCTCAAAACTGTCACTGGCTCTCTATAGCCTTTGGGAATAAACTTTTTACTCCAGTCAAATCTATTTATTTACCGTACCTTCAACATGTTTTGTGGATGTTTCCTTTACTTACGTCATTTCTCTCACCTGGAATGTTCTCCCTCCACCTCTCTGAATTCTATGGATCCTTCCAAGTCCAGCTCAAATACCACCTCTTCTATGCCTTCTTAGATCACACTAGCCTCAAGGTGATCTTTCTCTTCTTAGAACATTGAATCCAAGGCATTTATTTACTACCTGCTCGTTTGGTAGTTATCTTCTATTTCCTTGTATTACTAGTAATGCTCTTAAGTGTTTATATCTTGCCTTCCAAATAGACTATAAGCTCCTAGAGGTACAAAATCACATACTCTTCGTGTCCCACACTACATAATACCGAGCTTGAAATAGGCACTTAATACTTACTGTATTGAAATGAAAAATGTTTGAACTGAATTAACTCTTGCTGTTATTTATTTAAGCTTGAGATATATATATATATATATTTATTAAAAAAAAACCCTCCAGTAAAAGAAATGAGGATAGGAATGAAGGAGCCTTTAAAAACTGGGAGGCAAACCAAAGTCTTAACCTCACCTTTACATCAGGCACTTGTGCACCAAGCTTGCTGAGCCCCACGATGGAGTAGAACGCAGTTTCCAAATCTGAAAATGGCTGACTCAAAGAGGATTTCAATCGTTCAACATCACGTTGAGTGAGGTAGTGGCTGGGTGTTAGGGCCTGGATGACTGTGATGGTTAGGGCCACAAGTAAGATGGTGTTGGAACCTGGGGAAAAAAGCATTTATTTTAATAACAACTATTAAATAAGCCACATCCTATCCTAATGCCATTTAAAGTTACTAATAACCCAGAACAGGCTGCTTACATTTATAACTGCTATGATTATACAAGACAGATATGGGAGAATTTTTGTGGAGAGTATATACTTTTGTAGGGAGGGAAGTAACTTTTCGCAAATAACAAAGATTTTCCTAATACCCTCTGATCATGTTAGTCTCTGGTCAAAAATCTTCATGGCTTCTCAATACCAGAATGGTATTAAGAGCCCTCCAGTCTGTTTCCACCTTAGATTTCCATCATCAACATCTCTCACAAACTCCCTTTTCACATATCTTAGAGTCGGAACCAACATGAGACTACCAAGCTTATCGGAGACACCTCTCTCCTCCCTACTGGCCTGGGGCTGCTAACATCTAGGATCCTATGGCCATCACATCTCATTCTTAGGCTGCTTTCCTACTGGGGGAGAAAAAAAACAACACTGTCCCTGTTCGAAAAAAAAAAAAAAAGGGAAGGGGGCAGAAAACCAGACCCTATAACACTATCTTGGCTAGAGAACCTGGCCATACAAGATGGCCAAGATCAACACAGATGGTTCTCATTAGTATTATCCATCATCTTCCCCAGTTGAAAACTTCTTGGAAGGCAAGATGTAGTTGCGTTACACCTTCCTCTGGTCTCTCTCACACTGAACACACAAAAAAGCTCTATTTATCAAGGACTATAGCAATAGCTGATATATCTCTGGTCAAACAATCCACATATAGCTTGCCATCTAGAGAACCAATCAAATTAACTAAAGGAGCATCACTTCGGTCAAGATCTGCAGGGGCATCTAAACATCATTTTAATTAGTGCCTTGGGGCCATTTTAATATCTCTATACTTGGTATTTCCCCATGTACCATAGTTATAAAATTCATGCTGTTTCTCTCAGATCCCTGTAATTCAAAGCACCTTTTTTCTGGGTGAAAAATCTCCTTTTCCAGATTTATATGAGCTGATGAAAAGTGAAATGTACTGTGTACAAAGTAACAGCACTACTATAGGATGATCAGCTGTGAATGACTTAGGTATTCTCAGCAATACAACGATCCAAGACGGCTCTCAAGGACCTATGATGAAAAATGCTAACCATCCCCAGACAAAGGACTGATGGTGTGGGCATGCAGATTGAAGCATACTTTTAAAAAAAAAAAACTTTTTCTTGAGGTTTTTTTTTTTTGGTTATGTTTTCTTTCACAACATGACTATTATGGAAGTGTTTTGCATGACTACACATGTCTAACCTATATCTAACTGCTTGCCTTATCAATGGGGTGTGGGGGGATGGGGAAGGAGGAGAGGAGAGAATTTGGAACTAAAAGTTTTAGAAATGAATGTTAAAAATTGTTTTTACATGTAACTGGGGAAAAATAAAATACTAAATAAGTTAAAAAAAAAAAGAAAATCTCCTTTCCCCTGATACCCCTTAATGGATTAACAATCACTAATTAAACACCTACTATATATGTCCTAGGCATAGTACTAAACCCATTCCCTTACAATTCAGCTTTTGCTCTACTTTTCCACTGTGCCCCATGGCACACTTCTCCACTGTCACCAAACTTCTTTCATTCTAGATCTCTCCCTCTCTAACCTTCCCATCTTTGGTTCCTATCTCATTTAAACCTAGTTTTCTTTTTTTCTTTTTATAAATTTATTTATTTATTTTTAGTTTTCAACATTCATTTCCATAAGATTTTGAATTTCAAATTTTCTTCCCATGTCTCCCCTCGCCCCAGCCCAAGATGGCATGTAAATTGATATAGGCTCAACATATACATTCATATTAAACCTATTTTCACATTAGTCATGTTGTAAAGAAGAATTAGAACCAATGGGAGAAGTCATGAGAAAGAAGAAATTTAAAAAAAAAAGAGAGAGAAAACAAACAGTATGCTTCAATGGGCATTCAGACTCTACAATTCTCTTTCTGGATATGGACAACATTTTCCATCATGAGTCTTTCGGAGTTGTTTTAGATCCTTGCATTGCTAAGAAGAGATAAATCTATCAAAGTCAATCATCACACAACCTGGCTGTTACTGTGTACAATGTTCTCCTGATTCTGCTCACTTTACTCAGCATCAGTTTATATGTCTTTACAGGTTTTTCTGAAATCTGCCTGCTCACCATTTCTCATAGATAGCATTTCATTACATTCATATAACACAACTTGTTCAGCCATTCTCCTACTGATAAGCATCCCTTCAATTTCTAATTCTTGGCCACCACAAAAAGAGCTGCTATAAATGTTTTTGTACATGTGGATCCTTTTCCCATTTGTATGATCTCTTTGGGATACAGACCTAGAAATGGTATTGCTAGGTCAAAGGATATTCACAGTTTTATAGCCCTTTGGGCATAGTTCCAGATTGTTCTTCAGAATGGTTGGATCAGTTCATAACTTCACCAACAATACATCAGCATTCCAATTTTCCCACAGCTTCTTCAGTATTTATCATTTTCCTTAAACCTAATCTTCTTCTAAAGATATCACATCTCTAGGTGCCCTGTCCAAAGCTGGCTGCTCTACTCTCACTCAAACATATATGGCCAGGGGTAAAACTTGGCATATTCCTCACTTCCCAGTGCCACTCTGAGAACCTTCCTCTGTTACCATCACTCAGCAACTACCTCTCCTTTAAAGTTCCCTTCATTCTGTCCAGATTCTTGTTATCCATGAACAGAAGGGAAGGAGATTCCTGTTTTCCCCAATAAATTCAGTACCTGATTCAGTCTCCCTTCTTTATCCCAATTACTGACCCCTACTATTAGCCTTGGCTTCCCAATTTTTCAACCCCAACTCCTGTAACCTATTTCTAGACCACTTAAACTACTACTTCAACCACTCCCAAAAGCAATTATGTCCTAGACCCCACTCCCAAAACAATCTGCCTCAGTTGTTAAAATTCCTAGTTCATCCAAGCTGCACCAAGAGTCATTCCTTGAACATGACTCTGACTTCCTCTGCTCCTTTGTTCATGGGGATTCCTCCACCTGAAATATTCTCTTCCACAGTTCCCTCCCCACCTCCTCCTGGGAGGCGGGAGTCCTGGTCCCATCATTTACTAGCTTTGTAATGTTAGGCAAGTTACTCAACCTCTCTGAGCCCATTCCTCATCTGTAAAACAAAGATACAACTTACATTACTACCTACTCCATATGGTTGTTGCAGCGGTCAAATAAGATCAGAAATGTAAAGTATTTATAGCTGTAAACTATTATTACTTTTGAAATTCTACTGATACTTCAAGGACCAGCTTAAATGTTACCTCTCCATTATTTCCCTACCAGGGAATATAATTTCCCCTTTCTAATACCAATGGTAATTGTTATGACTTACAGCATTCTATCTTATAGATTAGTTATTGGTGTACTCATCTTCTCCTCACTACTAGACCATAAGCTCCCAAAGGGCAAGCACCAAGGCTCACTCAACTTTCCAGTCCCCATAGCACCTAGCAATGATTGAGAACATGCAAACAGCTACATACAAATAAGTTATATACAGGAAAAATCAGAAGTAATCAACAGAGGGAAGGCACCAGAATTAAGACAGATTGGGAGACTTCTTGTAAAGGTGGGATCTTAGCTAGGAATTAAAACAAGCCAGGAAGCAGAATTAAGAAAGAACGTTTCAGTTTCGGGGACAGTCAGTAAAAATTCCCAAATGGGATATAGAGTCTTGTTCAAGGAACAGTAAAGAAGTCAGTATCCTAGGATCATGGGGAATAAGGTTTAAGAAGACTGGAAAAGTGGGATACAGTTATAAAGTGCTTTGAATACCGGTGGTTTTATATAGCTAGAGGCAACTAAATGAAGCAGTGGACAGAATAATGGTCCTGGAGTCAAAAAGACTACAGTTCAAATCTGATCTCAAGTATTGTGTAACTTTAGGAAAGTCATTTACTCTATCAGCCTCAGTTTCCTCAATTATAAAACAGAGATTAATAATAATACCTACTTCCAGGGTTGTTTCTGCTCAGCACAGTGCTGGCACACAGGAGCTATATAAATGTAAGCTATTATTATTATATTTGGTCCTGAAGGCAACGGTGAGTCATTAGAATTTATTGAGTAGTCTGCCATGATTAGATCTGCACTTTAGGAAAATCACTTTGACAGCTGAGTGGAGTATGGAATGGAATGGGAAGGCTTGTGGCAAGCCAATCAACTAGAAGGCTATTACAATAGTCCAGGTGAGAGATGATAAAGGCCTGCACAAGGGCAGTAGCAGTGTCAAAGGAGAGAAGGTGGCATCCACAAGTGATGTTATGAAGGTAGAAATGATAGGATTCAGCAACAGATTGGATATGGGTGCCACAAGAGAGGTATTGAGGATGATTCCTTGGTTGTGAGCCTAAGTGACTGGGAAGATGGTGGTACTCTTGACAGAAATAGAAGTCTGGAAGGAGTGAGGATTTGAAGAGAAAGATGAGGATTCAGTTTTAGACATATTGAGTGTAAGATGTCTACAGGGCATCAAGTTCAAGATGTCCAATAAGCAGCTACAGATCAGCAGAGAGGTTAAGGCTCCTAAGGAGATGTGAAAGGGTAACTTAATATACGGGAGCTGATAGGATCACCAAAAGAAATAAATAGTATAGAGGGAGAAGAAAAGAGGGCCCTGGTCAGAGCCCTGTGGGACACCATCTCTCCTTAGTTAGTGAGTGGGCATGGCCAAGATGAAGATCCAACAAAAGAGACTGAGGAGTGGTCAGATGGGTAGGAGAAGAACCAGAACAAAGAGGTGTTCCAAAAATCCCAAGAGAATAAGCTATCAAGAAGAGGATGATCAACAGTGTCAAAAGCTCCTACCTAGTACATGTGTGACCAGGGGAGAGTCATTTAGTTTCCGTGGACCTCAGCTCCTTCATCAGCAAAACGAGAGGGTTGGACTAGATGGCCTCTAGGTCCTTCTCTCTTGGGGCCTAAGACTGGAGCCCGGCAATGCAGCAGGCCCTGGAATTCTCCCCATTAGACTCTAAGTTCCTCGAGGGCAGGGACTGTTTTTTTTTGCCTCTTTCTGTGTCCTATCACTTAGCACGGTGCCTGGTAGTAATTGTTTAATACATGTTGACTGATCGAAGGAATGAATGGAATGAAGACTTGTTGAGGGAATGAATGAACATTTTTAACCAATCACCTCCTGAGTACCACCTAAGCCTCCTACCCTTCCTACTCTTTCTGGGCAAGTCACTTCACCTCTCCAGGCCTCGGGGATAACGCGAACACTCCCGACTTCCCTGATTCCTACTTCGAGTTAGCCTTTCGCTAACCTTAAATCATCGCTGAAACATGAGTCCGGCCAGGAGCACAGGACTGCCTTCCTCGATTCTGCCCGAGGCCCCAAACACGTTTGCCACATCACGCTTCCTCCGATCCCCCACCCCAAAGTCAACGCTAACGCGTCCCCCTTCCCCCCCCCCCCCCGCCCCAGCCCCCGCCTCTCAGCGGAGCCCTCCCCGCCCCCACCCCCGCGCGCACCCACGGAAGGAGGACATCCCGCTGGGGATGGGCCGCTCGGGGACCCGTAAAGTGCCTGCGAATCCCTCCCTGCCCTCCCCTCCTCCCTGCCCTCCCCCGCGAAACCGGAACGTGCAGATGACCCTGTTCCGCAAGGGAGGGAGAACAAGCCTTTCCAGCTCAAGTGCGGAGCACATTCAGTTTCCACTGTCTCCCTCTTGGGAGACGCGGACCTGGGTCACCTCCCCGAGACCAGACCAGGGCCATGCCCAATGTCTCACCCAGGACCGCCATTCCTCCGAGCTCCAGCCCTGGTCCTGGCGCGCCGCAGACTTCCGCCCAAGAAAGTGGTTCCGACTAAACGGCGGAGGTGAGAGGTTATGCCAGAGTATTTTCTCCCGAGAATGGGCTCCAGTGACAGGTTGTTTATCTCTAATCAGAATCTCTTATCCACCTTCGTAAAGCTCTGGTGTGAATCTTTCGATAAGGGTCCCGAAAATGTGCTCACAAGCTGTGCGTCGAGGCCCGTCCACCCCTAGGAGCGAGCCTTCATGGAACAGTCCGCGTAGCAACCGTTAAGCTCCTGGTGGTTCAGGAAACCGGCTAGAAGAGGCGGGGACCCGAACCAGAAACGGGGCTTCTGCTGATTGGCCGGTGGGCTTGTCATTCATTCGCCTTCGCATAGCTCATTTTAAAGGGATAGTAGTAGGCTTTCTGTGGCAAGAAATGGGGAGAGGAATGAGGAAACTCGAAATTTTGGCACCCTTGTTTGGGATAGCAGCTATGTAATTCTAATTATTTTAATTACTTGACGCACCTCAATTCTCTTGCTTCTCAGTTTGCAAATCTTCATGCTGTACAGAAATGGAAATCATTTATTCCATACATAAGCATTTTCCCTAAGACTCCACCCGCTGGGAGCTAGTCGGTACAAGGATTGTTCTTTCCATTTTATGGATGAGAAAACTGAGTCTTAAAAGTCACAGCTAGTGAAATGTAGGAGTCAACTCCTAACAAATGTTGATGCCTGGTTGCAAGGCCTGGGCTCTTCCCATTGCACCACACTGTTAAATGAGAGTGAAAGGTCCTATGAGAAAAGGGGGATTCTGTGGAAGACAATGGGTTAAATTAACTCTTGATTATTTGACTGCGCTTTTGGTGCTTTGTGGGATAGTTGAGAGAAATTCTTAATTGCAGAATGGGTGCCTTCTTTTGTCACCTAGAAGGCATCTACACTACTTCTTACTTCCAATTCCTTTTTGTGCTTGGAACTGCATCTAAGGTAACCATTCTTTTTCACATGTTTACAGACCAGTCCCAATTGCAAGTAAAGAAAGTGTGCTTTCTAAAGCTTTCCTGATGGAATATTCTTTTTCAGATAATGTGTCCCAATTTGAGGTTCAGGAAATATAGAAGTTTTATTACTTTATCCAGAGATTAAGCTAAAAACTAAATTCTTAACTAAGTTCTTAATCAAATTCCTCTCACACTTTTTGGCTGTGTGACTGAGCAAATCATTTAACCTCTTTGAGCCTCAGTTTCCCTATTTTAGTTCTAAAATGGAGACACAATTGATTTCCCAGGGCTATTTTGAAGCTCAAATAAGATCATGTATAGACAGTGCTTTGCTACATAAATGTCGGTTGTATACATATTTACCTATATTATTGTTCAGTCATTTCAGTTGTGTTGACTCTTCATGACCCCATGGACCATACTGCCCATGGAATTTTTTTGGCAAAGATTCTGGAGTGGTTTGCCATTTCTTTCTCCATCGGGTTAAGGCAAATGGAGGTTAAATGACTTGTCAGGCTCATGCAGCTAGTAAATGTCAGGCTGGATTTGAATTCAGGTCTTTCTGACTCCATGTCTAGTGCTCTATCCACTAAACTACCTAACTGAAGAAGTTTTGGGGTACTGGCACCCCAAGAATGCCAAGGCAAGGTTGCCTGGAATGAATTCACACTCAAGCCTTCGCTTAGTGAAGTGGCAAAAAGTTTATTATTAATGCTTAAGCAAAATTGGGCATGGGTCCTTAAGGGAACCTTTGAGAGACTTAGGATGGTGCTGGGGTTTATATGGAAAAGGGGCATAGGAAAAGAATGCCAGGGATGCTAATTAGGTAATCTAAAGGTCCAGGTGTCTTTGGGAGCTATGGATGGGAAAGTGTAGGGAGTATACCAGACGAGGAAGGAGAAAAGGCAGTTTTTTGTTTAGCTGCCAGAGACATGGACCTTGGGGATCTGGTGGGAGGAAGAGTCCTTGGGCCAGCCAGGGACAAAAATCTCTGGACCAGGCACCCTTCTGTCTGTTCTGATAAGACCGTGTTCTGCAACAAGGGAAAATTTTCTCACAGGACAGGAGCCCACTAAGAAATTGGGAGGCTTCCAGAGACATGATCTTAGGGCTGGGGCTCAAGCACCCCATCATAACTACCTCCTATTTATCTATCTATATACAAACATATTTATATATATATAATATTCAGATTTCGTTTTCACTGCATTTGAAGGTCTTTCTCCTGGTCACTTGCAGAACTTCTTGTTTTTGAATTGAGTTGGTAAATTTAACCACTTTATGTCTTGGAGTTTGCACTTTTGGTTTTTTTGGTTGTTGTTATTTGTTTTTTCTGGAAGTGATCTGTGAATTCTTTGAACGGGTATTTCATTTTCTGTGTGCAGAAGTTCTGGGCAGTTTTCTTGTATTATCTCTTGCATTCTAGTGTTCAGGTTTTTTGATTTATGTTCTTTTGGTAGATGTATAATCCTCAGGTTGTCTCTTAAGTTGGCCTGTCTTCTAGGTCAGCATGTTTTGTTTGGATAGAGAGTATAATTTATTTTAATGTTTTTTCTTCTCTTCTTCTAGATTGTCCTTCACTTCTGTGTACTTGCATACCCAATTGATTTTTCTCTTTTTTATTTCTTTGGTGAGTCGTATCATTCCAGATTCAAATTTTTCTATTCTATCAATTATTTTTGCTATGTAGTCCATAAATTCTGCTCTAATAATTCTCATGTCTCTTTTAAACCACTTGGGGACAGCATTTTGTATTCTCCTATGTTCTCCTTAAATTCCACAGGATCCTCTGTCTTTTTAAGTGTTGAATCTTTTACTTCATTTTGCAATATTTATTCATAGATGTCTGGACTGATTTACTCAGTCTGGAGCAAAGTTCCCAATAAACTACATGAGTGTACATCCAGCCAGTGACTGAGATGCTCTGGCACACACTGAATTGTTGCAGCACAAATGAAACTTTCTTTTCAAAACATTGCTGATTCTGAGTCACTATTTACATGGTTGTTTTTGCTTTTCTTTCTTGAAGCTCTTTGTATTCTAATTGGTTTAGCAACTGCCACTGGATTGGTTCAATTAGGTCATGTGATCTGGCAGGCTGTGAGGAATGAAATATGTGGCTTTTCTATTTTCAGATAGTGAAGTGATGATTGACTATAGTAATTGCTTTACTTAAATTAGCTAATTTAAGAAACCTGAAGTTATGCAAGATAAACTCAAAGCCCCCTGATATGAAAAGCTTTGTACTACTCAATAATAAATATAATCAAAACTACACAATTTTTCCATTTTTAGTAGAAATATTCATATAATGTATATTACAAAAAACAAAACTTTTAAAGGGCTGCAAGGTCATCAGGTTGTATAAAATTTTTCTGTTTAGAACAATAGCAGGATAGCAGGTCAATGCATCTGTCAAAAAAAAAAATTAGAAGGAACATTCATCTGGAGGCTTCTTTGCTTGTGCTTTTAATGTTTTCCCTGTTGATTTATTGGCTTATGTTTAAAGTCTTTGAATTTTCTTCATAAGATCTTTTGTAATTTAAGTCTCTGCTCCCTCCCTTTTATTTTCCCCTATTAATCACTTTCTGATTCCCTCCCCTTTGATGGTAGTTTCCCTGGAGGGCTGGATCTCAAAGCTTCACAGCCTCCTCCCATGCCAAGCAGTTCTCTATTTACCTGCCTAAGTCTCTGTCCCCACGTGACTTTTGGGAGAAAAGGACACAGGAAGAAAAGTAAAATAAAAGGACTACAGAGAGGGGGAGAGAAAAGGAAAGACAGGAAGAATTGCCTGTGTCATTGAGCCATAAGATCTGTGGCAGGAAGAATAAACTAGAAAAGACAATTAAGCCCCTACTGTGTGTCGGGCACTGTGCTAATCACCTTACAAATGTCAAATTTGGTAATATTTTATTTTAATACTTAAAATGATAGGCCTTTATTTCAGTGTTTTTAATTCACAGATATTCAATGGATGTTCAATAATACAGGCAACGAGGACCAAGGGCTTTATATGGAGGAAGGCAGGTTCATTTGATTGTTTTCCTGTTTGAGATCAGGAGATTAGATATTGTCCAACAAAGCACCAGCTGTACTGGTTTGTGGCTTGGAAGTTTCTAGAAAAGTGTAGAAAAAGTGGGTGTAAGGGTTGAGGAGAGTGAATTTAGAATAGAGGTCATTTATTACTAGCAAACTTTACGGAAAAGAGACCCAAAAAAACAGAGAGGATTTTTTAACCTATCAAAATTATGTACTTCATTTTTGTAAGTAAGGTGGATTTTAGTGTGTGTAAGGAGGGCTTTGTTATTCTGTTTTAGATGGTAGTTCCAGGATCCTAGATAATATTTCCCACAAATTACGATAGAAACTTTTACTGTGCAGTCACAGTAGAGATACAGGGGTGACGTAATGTACGCATGCACTATGCTAGGTCATGACAATATTGCTAAAGTTAACCTGTGAGCTTAATGTTGGCAAGATGCCTTCTTTGTCTGTTGCCGTATAAATCAAGTGGGCCCTGGTCAGTAAGAGGAGAAACCATTTTGGGATTTGGGTAATGCATAGAGTAATGCATGTACCTGCCTTAATTGGCCTCCAGCAAGGCTTGGGGAGAATCTGTGTTTGCCTCAGCTGTCCCCCATTGAAGCTCCTACCATTCTAGCCCACCTCTGCGAAAAGTGTGATTAGGGAATGCTGTAGGAGTTGGAGCTCCCATTATGAGAAGACTAGACTAGAATAAAGTAAGCTTATTTAATCCCTCCGAAACTGTCTTCCTGTCTGATTGGATCAAAAGTAAACCTGTGCTAGAACACCTGTTGATGTTGGAGCCTTTCTGTGTTCTCTTGCCCAACAAACGGTGTTACCTGTGTGTTTACCTGTGAAACAATTTTCCTAACTCTGACTAATTGATCATTTCTCACCACTAGTATTGTACCCTGAATTACCTCTGTTTAGTAGAGGATTCCATTCCTTATTGAGACTAACACTAGACAGGAACTCTGTTAGAATTTAGCTCCTACCTCATTTGACTTCCTTTGCATTTGCCAAATAATTGTACAAGTTCTGAAAGTGAAGGAGAGAAGTTAAGGGAAAGATTATGCTTATTAAATCACTCCTATGTGTGACTTGGTTACAAAATTATTTTAGGAGCATCGCAGGAAGTTAAGAAACAATAAGAATCTGCTTCTGGGGTTTGTAAAAAAAGCTGATAATTAAAATCATAACTCTAGACTTAGCTTAAAAAGATTTGTAGAGATCAGGTTCATCCCTCTTATTTTTCAGATGAGGAAACTGAAGCCCAGAGAAATTGTGACTTGTCCAAAGTCACACAAGTAATGACAGTATTTGTATATCCCTTTAGGGTTTGCTAAGTATGCTCCAATTATTCTCATTTTATCCTCACAACAACTCTGTAAGTTAGGTGCTATTATTATCCCTATTTTATAGATGAAGAAACTGAGGCAGAAGTTAAGTGACTTGCCCAGGGTCAAAACAGCTAGTAAGCTCCCAAGGGCAAATTTGAACTCAGGTCCTCCAGTAGGCTCCAGGTCCAGTATTCTACTGTGTCACCTAAGATGTAAGCCCAGGTCTGCGACCTGTTTTGTTACATTCTATTGTCATTTTTCTCTGAGCTCGTATGAGCAGGAGTCATTATTTGGTCAGATGAATAACTCAGACTTGCAAAACATTGATTTTTCACAAAGAGCTCAACAATTCTACCCTCCCAAGGGAAAGAAATTGCTCTCTTTTAATACTATGTTAATTCCTAGGTTCAACACTCTTGACGAGATGGTGTCTCCCTATGGTTCTGACAGTGATTCTGGAAGTGTGGATTTACAGCTAAGCAACTTGGAAGGGATTAAGAAGGATCCAAATAACTTTGATCTCATAGGTAAAGGAGAAAAAAGAACCTCTCTAAGTCAAGCTGAGAAATCTGTCGAGTAACTGACTGGGTATAAGCACTATACTAACCACTTTAGAAGCTGCAAATCTGGTCCCCATCCTTTGGAAACTTGCAGCTAAATTAAGAAGACAAGAATGACCTTCAGAATTATAAAATTTAGAGCCAGAAGGGAATTTAGAGATCATTTAGGCTAATCTTTGCATTTACCAGATGAGGAAACCAAGACTCAGAAAAGTTAAGTGACTTGCTCAATGTCACATAGGTAGTAAGTGGCAGAAACAGGATTAGAACTCAGGCCTTTTGGCTCCAATCCAGTGCTCTTGTGGCCCTGTTTCTAAATATAAATAAAAGAAAGTAACAATATTATGCACTATATTTAATATCCTTGATGATCACTCTACAGACTAGAAAGAGGCTGAATCTAGCAAATGAAAGTTGATAGTGATAATGTAGTTTCCTGTGCTTAGATTTTAGAAAGTCAGTTGCAGAAACACAAGCTAGATAGGACGTGGCTTGGTAGCAGTTTGTCTGAAGAAGATTTTAATTAAATTCCAAAAACACTGATTCAATGACTTACTGCTTTCTAGATTTCTTTCACTAGGGATAAAGGTGAAATAAAACATAGTAGACTGTATACAGTCTAGTAGCTACAATCAACTGCAAACTCAAAATCATTCAGTAATGTGCTGTAGTGACAAAAAAAGTCTAATGCCATCGACAGGATTTGGATCCATTTCTGGTATCTTTGGTGTAGGGTCTTCCTGTACTGCTTCAGATTGTGACCCATCCATGGGTCATTTTTTTTGCATATGCTTCTTGTCTATGTCTTTGTTTTAACCTTCCATTGAGTAATCCCGTGCACAGGAGGCCTTCCTCCAGGTATTTTAATATTTTGTAGATATCACTGCAGGGCAAGGGCTTTTATACCCTTGCTCTCACTGTATGATCCACTTGCCTCCCTTGCTGGTGTTACATATCTTGGATATTATCTTTTGTTAACTTCATGTATGCATGTCATCATTGGTAATATGCATTAGCGTATTTACACCTGCCACATCTCCATTGCCCTGTGTTAGTGACCAGCAGTTTTAATTCTTGCAGAATTATGGTTTCCTCTAATTCTTGGCCTTAGCGCATCCCTGAGACAAATTGGTATTAAAAATGGGCTAGATGGTACATTAGGCTGCCTTATAGAAGTTTAGTGTCCAGAAAAAAAAGAGATCACATTTGTATACAGTATCACTAATAACAAACTAGTCAGACCTCATCTGGAAAATTTTGTTGAGTTCTAGGCACCAAGTTTTAGGAGTGGCATTATCATGCTGAAGCAAATCCCAAAGAGGGAGAGCTAGATGTTAAGGGGACTCAAAATCATGCCATATGAGAATTTGTTAAGGGAATTAGGAGTGTTTAGTCTATATTTTAAAAAAAAAAAGATTTACAGGGGACAGGATCACTATCGAGATACATGAAAGGCAGTTGAAGAATAAATATTAGTGACTGAAAAAAAAATAGGAAAGCAGGCTTCAATTCAACCTAAGGCAGAATTTCCTAAGAGCACCATAGTCCCCTCCCATATTTTTAGCCACCTTCTACATATCCTACTGTTATGTCAAACCCAACATGTTTGGAACTGAGCTCATTTTCTTACCATCAAAATCTCTGTTTCCACTCCTGGTACCACCCTTCTTCTAGTTACCCAAACTCAAAACTTTGGAGTCATCCTTTTATTTTCTTTTCCCCTCATATTCCACATCCAATTAATAGCCAATGCTTATTGATTCTACCTCCGCAATGTTTTTAATCTTTTCTCTCCTTTCTATTTCTCTTGTTACTCTTTAAGTTTAGACCTCTATAAGCTCTAGTAGCCTGCTTCCTACTATTTCTGCCTCTAGTTTCTTCCTTCTTCCACTCATCCTTCACACAACTACCCCTGTAATGTTAATTCATCACTCTGATTAAATCAGAAACTTTTAGTGGCCACTGAAGTACATGCTTCTGTGTCTGGTGTCCAGAGCTGTTTACAATTGGACTCCAGCCTATTTTTCCAGCCCTTTTCACTCTACTTCCCTTCCTATTCAATCCCTTACGTTCCAGCTAACTGTAGTCGTAGCCAGCTTAGTTTTCTGTTATCATTTTTCTCCTTATCATCTCTTTACTGTTACTTACTCTGTACTTCCTTCTTAGGATGGCTTCCTCTACCCCATCCCTCCCCCATATCTGTCAAAATCCTTTCCTTGCCTCAAAACTCCCCCAGGGACCATTTTATCCAGGAAGCCTCTTTTTGAATCTCCAAGTTAGAAGCGATCTCTTTCTTCAAATGTATTTTGTACTTTGGATTTCTCTTAGCACGTATTTTATTTGTCTTTGTATTAGAGTTATATGTATATGAGAGGCAGCTGGCATAGTAGAAGAAAACCAGCCTCAAATCCAGAAAGACCTGGGTTCAAGTCCTGCCTTTGACATATACTGGCCAGCCAGGGGACCCCGGGCAAGTTACTTAACTGCTCAGTCATCTAGTCTCCAAGACTCTAAATTTCAGAGAAGATACTGATCTGCATTGACAGAAGGAGATTCTTTACCTGAGAATTCCTTAAACTTATGAAAACACAGGTCCAGTCTCTATCTCTGTCTCTTCATATGGACCACTTCTTATTTTATCATCATGTAACATTCCCTTTGGTGATACCCCACATACTTTCAAAATGGGGATCAAGGTATTTTGTAGGTTCATGCTGCTAAAACAGAAGCGGCTGGGTCACATAGTAGATAGAGCCCTGGGCCTGGAGTCAGGAAGCCTGAGTTCAAACCCCCCCTCAGATACTTACTCGCTAGATGACCTAGGACAAGTCACTTAACCTCTATTTATCTTAGTTTCTACAACCCGAAGTGCTAATCTACTCTGTTTCATTGTAATTTTAGTCTGTCCACATATATGCATCTTAGTGGACTAGGACATGAGTGCCATTCGTCACAGAGGGAACTTAATACGTATTTGTTGCAAATATTCTTTTTACCATACGCTGCTATTTTACCATAGCATGGGAAGTTTTAACTTTCACCTTTCTTTTTTTTTTATTAGACTCAGACGTTTCTGATACCCCTGGAACTTCTCTGAAAGTTGTTACAGAAAACATCATACAGTCGGAGCTTGAGGGACCTCCAGGTGTGATTATAATAGAAAGGTTGATGAATTCCATTCAGAACTATCTTAATGGTGATCGGAAGGTATGAGCAGACTTCACATCATCTCTGATTGGTACTTCTACACTTTCATATGTCTTCTTTCGTTGATACTTGATTTTCTAGGACCTGGTCCATGCTCATAAGCACTTACTACCTTTAATTTAAATTCCCCCTTAATTATATTTGTTCTTCACTTTTTAGTCTGAAGGTAATTGGTGGAGAACACAAACAGAAGTGAAATAGTTCTGCTTTCCCTGTTTTTGTCCTCCGTAGCATTTTCTGCTGTTTTCATAGCATAAGCCTGCCCTCATTCTGGGTGTATCCCTTCTGATGCTTACTCTACAGGCTGACTGGAAGGGCTCCTTTAAGTTTACTGTTCTTTGTGTGTTCATCCTCATGCCTTTTGTATAAGGGCCTTGGGGAGACAGGAGTGTTTCCAAGAGCTCCTTGTGAGCCACATTTCCTTCTCTTGTTCTTCCTTCTATGTTTCTTCCTAATTGGGATCATTTATAATTGTATCATTAGAATTTGGTTTTAGAAACTCCTCCTCCTTCTTGAGCCATTTTCATTTTAAGAGTGTCTATTTATACCTGTCTTTTCTCTGAATTTTTAAAAATTTGCTTTCCTTACATCTAGGTACCACATCAAACTAGTCCTAATACTCCCCATTCTTGACTGTTATAAATTCTAACATATTAGAATTTATAACCTATATATATATATATAGGTTATCATTATTTCCAGTTTAAATCCTTCTTGCTGGGCAAATTGAATTGTGTCAGTAGTAGCATTTCCCCTCATTATATTCTCTATCTTCTGAGAAATCTGAAGGTTATATATTTATTTATTCTTTGGCTTGTAAAATCATAAATTTCAACACAAAAGTCTTAGGACAAAACAAAATACATATATAATAGTAATTAACATAACAATATTGGATCAAATGAAATAACAAATATTAAAACATTTAGAAAAGTTTCTTCATAGTTCTATTTGTAGATAAGGCAAGAGTTTGTGACCAAACAAAAGACAGAGAGGATCACGGGAGATAAAATTGATAATTTTGATTGCATGAAATTAAAAAGTTTTTGCATAAACAAAACCAGTGCAGCCAAAATTAAAAGGAAACTGGAGGTGGGAGGAGGAAGGGATTACGACAGATTTCTTTGATAAAGGCTTCGTTTCTCAAAATATAGGGAACTGAACCAAGGTTATAAAAATAAGAGCCATTCTCCAATTGATAAATGGTCAGAGGATATGAAGAGGCAATTTTCAGAAGAAATCAAAGCTATCAATAGTCATATAAAAATAGTCTAAATCATTATTGATTAGAGAAATGCAAATTAAAAGAACTTTGAGGTACCACCTCATACCTATCAGATTGGCTAACATTACAGAAAAGGAAAATGACAAATACTGGAAGGCATGTGGACAAATTGGGACACTAATGCATTATTGGTGGAGTTGTGAATTGATCCAACCATTCTGGAGAGCATTTTGGAGTTATGCTCCAAGGGATATAAAGCTTTGTATATCCTTTCACCCAGCAAAACCACTTCTAGGTCTATATCCCAAAGAGATCAAAGAAAAAACAAAAGGACCTCTATGTACAGAAGTATTTATTGAAGCTCTTTTTGTGGTAGCAAAGAATTGGAAATGGAGGGGATACCTATCAATTGGGGAATAGCTGAACAAGTTGTGGTATATGACTGTGATGAAATACTCTTGTGCTATAAGAAATGATGAGAAGGATGGGTTCAGAAAACCTTGGAAGACTTATTTGAACTGATGCAAAGTTAGGTGAGCAGAACCAGAACACTGCACACAGTTACAGAAATTTTGTAAAGATGATCAAATGTGAAAGACTTAAATTACTCTGATCAATGCAGTGATCCAAGACAATTCCAAAGGACTCAAGATGAAAAATGCTGTCCACCTCCAGGAAGCAAACTGATGAACTTCGAGTACAGATCAAAGCATACTTTTTATCACTTTATTCATTTTGCTTTTTATTTTTTAATTTTTGCAACTTGACTAATATGGAAATGTTTTGCATGACCTCATATGTTTGATGGGCATCATATTGCTTGACTTCTCAATGCATGGAAGTGGGGTGGATGGGGGAATTTCAACCTCAAAATTAAAAACAGAAGTTTAAAAAAAACAACAAAAAAAAGCATTATATGCATGTAAGGTATTAAGGACAGCCTGGTATAGTGGAAAGGATAGTGTGTTATGTTCCAGGTTTCTAGTCCTAATTTTGTGACCTCAAGCAAATCACTTACATATGTGCATTCTGGGCATTTGAGCCTCACAAAACAGAGGCTACACTTAAATTCTCTAGGCCTTGTTTTCCACATCTATAAAAAGCAGGTTAGACTAGTTTATCTCTGGGATCCCTTCCAAATCTAATATTCTATGCTTTAAAAAAAAAAAAAACCTTAAGTACAATTCTTTTTTTCTCCATGAATTCAGGGTGATCTCGAAAAGCTGACATTCTTGCGATCTTTGTCCACTCTCAGCCGAACTTTATCCTATGATGAAACCACTGAATCATTCATTCATGAACACATCTCACAAATCTTGGATGCTATAACTGTGAGTATTCCCGCCTTATTAAATTTTCATAAATTACCTAGGATTCATTTTTTCACCAGCAAAATTTTCAGTGGCTTGCCAGTGTGTACTGATGCTTTCATCCTTCCTCCCCCACCTGCAAATAGATTTTTAATGGCAAAATAACTGTATGTGGGCATCAGGATCTGCCTCAGGCAAAACTGAGAAGTAAGCCAGGTTTGTCTTTGACACTCTCTTTGCCTCCATTCCAACAGGAGACCAACTTCCTTTATTCTCATTTCTGGAATGGGAATGGGAATTCTTGTAAATTCTGTCAGTGTATTAGCTGATAACAAAAGTGTTACCTGTTACCTCTGCATAATATAGGCTACAAGCCTTTTGCAACAATCAAGGTCTGAGCTAGCCTTGTGTAGATAATGGGGTACTGTGATGTCCAGAGGTGTGAGAGAGCACTGATAGTACCTCCATGCCATGTGTGGGATATTCCTCTGGGATCTTGTAGAGGCTTTATGAGTGCAGAGATCAGATGGAGTAGAGGCTAACTGTACTGGCACTTCTCCTGGAGGATTTAGGTGAGCCAAATAACAAGAATAGGATTAGTTTATTTTTTATCAGGGTAGCATAGATGAGGTGGTCAAAAAGATTGTGAAAAGGAATGGAATATGTGCAGGAGCATGACTCAGCTTCAGTGTTGGAGCCTGTGTCTTTCTCCCCCTATTTCATCATAATGATGAATGAGGATCTTTGTGCCCATCTGGGGCTGAGGCTCATGCTGCTTCAGATTTTATACACAATGTGTACTAGAATTGGAGAATGTTTATGATAAAGCTAGACATCAGATGCATTCTTTAAAAAAAAATTTTTGTTGTTTTGAACTTAACAGATGTCAATTGACACAAGAATTTCTGCATACATGGAACAGAAAAAAGGATTACATATGAAACCTCAAATCTCTACTATGATATATCTATATGTGTTTTATTTATATATAAATATATTTATATATTTATATTTTATTTATATGCTTATATATTTATATATAAACAAAATATTTTTAACATATTTAAAAGCTATTTTGCTTATTTGCATCCTCCTCTAAAACTCCTTCTCTTCTGTGTTTTTTTAAATGTTTCGTCTCTCTCACTTCTTGCCCCAAAAAACCCGTCCCTTGAATTTAAAACACGTACACACACACATGCACACACACAAACATGTCATGTCAAATAAGTCCTGTGAAGCAAAGCAAATCCATATATTTGTATGTATGAAATATATATATACATATATATATATATCATGTTTAATATGATTATACATATATAGCCTATATTAGATTGCTTGCCATCTTGGGGAGGGGGGAAGGGAGGGAAGGAAGGAGAAAAAAAAAATTTGGAACTCAAAATCTTATAAAAGTGAATGTTGATCAAATCCAGCCTCAGACACTTGACACTTACTAGCTGTGTCACCCTGGGCAAATCACTTAACCCGATTGCCTCACTGAAAAGCCAAAAAAAAAAAAGTGAATGTTGAAAACTATCTTTACATGTAACTGGAAAAAATAAAAAAACTATTAAGTGGAAAAAAAGAAACTCACATCCATGTGTGTCACTCAGCTAGGAGATGGGTAGCAACATGCTTGATCATTCATTCATTGGGGTTGTGATTGGTCATTGCATTGATTAGAGTTCTTAATTAGTCTTTTTTTGGGGGGGGGCGGTGAGGTGATTGGGGTTAAGTGACTTGCCCAGAGTCACACAGCTAGTGAATGTTATGTGTCTGAGACTGGATTTGAACTCAGGTCCTCCTGACTCCAAGGCCGGTGCTCTATCCACTGCACCACCTAGCTGCCTCAATTCTTTCTAGGTTGTTTTTTTCTTTACAATATAGTCACTATATAAATTATTCACCTAGTTCCCCTCACTTCACGCTGCATAAGTTTATATAAGCCTTATCATGTTTCTCCTTTTTATTTTTTCTTATGGCACAATAATATTCCATCACATTCATATACAATAATTTGATGAACCATTCACTGATTGATGGGTACCCCCTTATTTTCTAGTTCTTTGTTACCACAAAAAGTACTGCTATAGATTTTTGTGCATGTAGGTTTTTTCATTTTGTCTTTGATTTGGGGGTGGGGTAAATGGTATAAGTCTATTAGTTTTATCACTGAGTCAAAGTGAATTCATAGTTCAGTTTCTTTTTGTGTAAAGTTCCAATTTTGCTTTCTAGAATGGCTGGACCATTTCATAGCTGATTAATAGTACATTACTCGTAACTTTCCTCCTATTTCCTCCAACTTTTCTCTCCAATAATTGTTATTTTCTTTTTCTTTTTTGGGTCACTTTTACCATTCTAATGGAATTGAGATAAAACCATTTATTGTTTTAATGTGTATTTCTCATATTAATAGTGATTTGTAACATTTTACATATGATTATTGTTGGTTTGAATTTCTTTTCTTGAAAAGTGCCTTTTCATATCATTTGACCATTTATCTACTATGTAATGGCTCTTAATCTTATATATTTGAATGAATTCCCTATATATCATAGATAGCAGATCTTTATCAAAGAAATCTGCTACAAAGATTTTTCCCAATTTTCCCAATTAACTACTTCCTTTTAATTTTGTCTGCATTGATTTAGTTTATGCAGAAGCTTTTCAATTTTATGCAATTAATATTATCTGTTTTATCTCCTATAATTCTTCTTACCCTATGTTTAGAAAGGAATTCTTCCCTCCTTTCCTTCCTTTCCTAGCCATAACTTCAAAGAAGCCTCTACCTTTAAAAGACATAGGTCAAATTCATTCTAGAGCTACGTATTTTGTTAAGTTTACTTTCAACTTCCCATCTTGAAGAAGGGGCATATAGCAGTAGTCATTGGGCATGTCATAGTAAGGTAATAAGAATCAGGACCAGGATAGTAACTGTTGAAATGGAAAGGAATAGGCAAGGTAAATCTGAAGAAAATAACAGAGGAAAACTTAGTAAGACTCAATAATTAAGGAAGATGGTGGAAAAAGTCAGAAAATTCCAGGCTCTCCAAATTTCCTCCACAAATAAGACAGAACGTTGCCTCAAAGTGAGTGTAGAGTGACAAAAATAAACAAAAGTTGGGATAAAGCAGTTGTCTTCCTAAGACAACTTAAGAGGTACTCAGAAAAGATGACCTCCAGAGGTGGAAATTTGTCCTCAGGAGCTTTCACCTTATAGAAAGTGAGGGAGTAGAAGAGCTGAGCACAGAAGACTGAAAGACCCTCTGCTATCTTGGGATACCAGGCACAGCCATGTGGACCAGATGTGGTCCTGGGCTGCTGCTGTGGGCAAGAAGGAGCTAGAAATAGAAAATAGAAAAATAGAAATAGAAAAAATCTGCTGATCCCCACCTGAAAGAGATCCCAGGAGGAAAACTTACAGGAATATCATAGCCAAGTTTCAAAGCTCCCAGGTTAAGGAGAAAATAATACAAGCAATAAGAAAAGGAAAAAAAAAACCACTTTAAATACTGTGGAGCTACAATCAGCATTAGATAAGACCTAGCAACTTCCCCCATAAAAGACCATAGGTTTTGGAACATTATATTTCAGAGAGCAAAAGAGCTGAGGTTATGACCAAAAATAACTTACCTGGTAAAGTTGTATATATTCCTGAATGACAAAAATATGGATATTTAGTGAACTGGAAGACTTTCAGGTATTTGTGACAGAAAGACCAGAACTCAATGGAAAATTCAACATATAAGATTCATGAGAAATATGAAATAAATATTAAAGACCAATTACAAGAGACCCAATAAGGTCAAACTGTTTACTTCTTATACATAAAATGTTTTTTAATATTCTTAAGACTGTCATTATTACTTGAGTAGTTTGGAGAAAGGTTGGGACCACGCTGAGTATGATGGGGTGATTCTGAAAAACAAAATTGGGTAGAAAAAGGTAAAAAGGAGTAATTATCTCATACAAGTGAGGCATGAGAGGAAGAATGGATGCAGGGGAAGCAGGTGGGAGTGGAAGGCTGGCAGTGTTGGAACCTCACTGTCATCGAATTGGGGCACAGGAACAATGTGAGCGTTAGGAGGGGTATAAAAGGAGGGTCAGGGGAGGGGACGAGGTAGAGGGTGTAGATCAAGATTTAGGGCAGTGTGGAGAGATGATGGAGAAAGGGCTCTTTCAGAGGGCGCGAGTTAGGGCTGGGGTGGTTAGGAATAAGCTAGATGGGTGAGGAGGGATAGGGCTGAGAAGGACAATAGTGAGGAAAGGTAGGATGGAGGGAAATACACACATAGTAATTATGACTTTGAATGTGAATAGGATGAACTCACCCATAAAACTGGAATGGATTAAAAATCAGAATCCAACAATAAGCTTTTTACAGGAAACACATTTTAAAACGAGAGACACACACAGAGTTAAAATAAATGACTGGAGTAGAATTTATTGTGCTTCAGCTGATGTAAAAAAAAAAAAGCAAGGAGTAGCAATTTATGATCTCAGACAAAGTTAAAGCTAAAATAGATTTAATTGAAAGAGGTAAACAGAGACACCACGTTATTATAAAAGCTACCATAGGGGCAGCTAGGTGGTGCAGTGGATAGAGCACTGGCCCTGAAGTCAGGAGGACCTGAGTTCAAAACTGGCCTCAGATGAAACATTTGACACTTACTAGCTGTGTGACCCTGGGCAAGTCACTTAACCCCAATTGCCTAAAAATTTTTAAAAAAAGGTACCATAGACAATGAAGCAGTATCAAGACTAAACCTATATACACCAAATACTATAGCATCTAAATTTTTTTAAAAAAAGGTTAAATAAATTACAGGTGGAAATAGACAGTAGTACTTTAATAGTTGGTGACTTTAATTTTCTCCTCTCAGAACTAGATTAATCTAACCAGAAATAAATAAGAAAGAAGTCAAAAAAGCAAATAGAAGTTTAGATAAGCTAGATATGATAGATAACTGGAGAGAACTGAATGGGAATAGAAAGGAATATACCTTTTCTCAGCAGTACTT